ACAATTATGCATGATATTTCCTAATTTTGATGCTCTTTTAAATCAATTTTCAAATATCCATTCATTTTCTTGTGATTTCAACGATAAATTTTGCATTATGTTCAAATTAATTTTGTAAATTTTCATCGAAATTTCATTATTCCATACAAACATTAATTATTTTCTTTGTTAACTAACTTAAGATTATCGTTCTTAATAGGTTTGAACCGAGTAGATAAAGATTTAAATAAATGATTTTGAATAAGTTAAATTGAGGTTATCTGACATCGAGAATTATCGGTTATTATTACAATATGTTAGCTACAGGGTTCCTCGCTGAAAATTTGAAAAAAATTTATTAATAAAAGTTGTTGCTAATTTAATTCTAAACAAATTTTATTTGAAAATATTTTTGATTCGGACAATAATTATTGAGATAACCTCAAAAATATGATTTTTTATAAGAGTGTACACCGCCAAGTAGTGAAGATGTCGAAAACTATTATTGCAAAATGGATTCAATATAATAATCTAAACTAATATTATAGGAAAGATTTTTTGATAAAAACAATAATATGCCTAATATTCATTGAATTACTTAACGTACTATTCACAGGGAAATTAGATGATGCTTCTATGCTAGTTACAGGGTTCCTCAATGAAAATATGAAAAAAAATTCTTAATAAAAGTTATTGTTAATATAATTCTAAACAAATTTGATTTGAAAAAATTTTTGATTCGGACAATAATTATTGAGCTAACCTCAAAAATATGATTTTCTATAAGAGTGTAAACCGCCAAGTAGTGAAGATGTCGAAAACTATTATTGTAAAATGGATTCAATATAATAATCTAAACTAATATTATAGGAAAGATTTTTTGATAAAAACAATAATATACCTAATATTCATTGAATTACTTAACGTACTATTCACAGGGAAACCAGATGATGCTTTCATGCTAGTTACAGGGCTCCTCATTGAAAATTCAAAAAAAATATATTAATAATAGTTGTTGCTAATTTAATTCTAAACAAATTTGATTTGAAAAAATTTTTGATTCGGACAATAATTATTAAGATAACCTCAAAAATATGATTTTTTATAAGAGTGTACACCGCCAATTAGTGAAGATGTCGAAAAGTATTATTGCAAAATGGATTCAATATAATAATCTAAACTAATATTATAGGAAAGATTTTTTGATAAAAACAATAACATGCCTAATATTCATTGAATTACTTAACGTACTATTCACAGGGAAACCAGATGATACTTCCATGCTAGTTACAGGGTTCCTCATTGAAAATTCGAATAAAATTTATTAATAAAAAATATTGCTAACTTAATTCTAAACCAATTTTATTTGAAAATATTTTTGATTCGGACAATAATTATTGAGATAACCTCAAAAATATGATTTTTTATAAGAGTGTAAACCGTCAAGTAGTGAAGATGTAGAAAACTATTATTGCAAAATGGATTCAATATAATAATCTAAACTAATATTATAGGAAAGATTTTTTGATAAAAACAATAATATGCCTAATATTCATTGAATTACTTAACGTACTATTCACAGGGAAACTAGATGATGCTTCTATGCTAGTTACAGGGTTTCTCAATGGAAATTTGAAAAAAATTTATTAATAAAAGTTGTTGCTAATTTAATTCTAAACAAATTTTATTTGAAAACATTTTTGATTCGGGCAATAATTATTGAGATAACCTCAAAAATATGATTTTTTATAAGAGTGTAAACCGCCAAGTAGTGAAGATGTCGAAAACTATTATTGCAAAATGGATTCAATATAATAATCTAAACTAATATTATAGGAAAGATTTTTTGATAAAAACAATAATATGCCTAATATTCATTGAATTACTTAACGTACTATTCACAGGGAAATTAGATGATGCTTCTATGCTAGTTACAGGGTTTCTCAATGGAAATTTGAAAAAAATTTATTAATAAAAGTTGTTGCTAATTTAATTCTAAACAAATTTTATTTGAAAACATTTTTGATTCGGGCAATAATTATTGAGATAACCTCAAAAATATGATTTTTTATAAGAGTGTAAACCGCCAAGTAGTGAAGATGTCGAAAACTATTATTGCAAAATGGATTCAATATAATAATCTAAACTAATATTATAGGAAAGATTTTTTGATAAAAACAATAATATGCCTAATATTCATTGAATTACTTAACGTACTATTCACAGGGAAATTAGATGATGCTTCTATGCTAGTTACAGGGTTTCTCAATGGAAATTTGAAAAAAATTTATTAATAAAAGTTGTTGCTAATTTAATTCTAAACAAATTTTATTTGAAAACATTTTTGATTCGGGCAATAATTATTGAGATAACCTCAAAAATATGATTTTTTATAAGAGTGTAAACCGCCAAGTAGTGAAGATGTCGAAAACTATTATTGCAAAATGGATTCAATATAATAATCTAAACTAATATTATAGGAAAGATTTTTTGATAAAAACAATAATATGCCTAATATTCATTGAATTACTTAACGTACTATTCACAGGGAAATTAGATGATGCTTCTATGCTAGTTACAGGGTTTCTCAATGGAAATTTGAAAAAAATTTATTAATAAAAGTTGTTGCTAATTTAATTCTAAACAAATTTTATTTGAAAACATTTTTGATTCGGGCAATAATTATTGAGATAACCTCAAAAATATGATTTTTTATAAGAGTGTAAACCGCCAAGTAGTGAAGATGTCGAAAACTATTATTGCAAAATGGATTCAATATAATAATCTAAACTAATATTATAGGAAAGATTTTTTGATAAAAACAATAATATGCCTAATATTCATTGAATTACTTAACGTACTATTCACAGGGAAATTAGATGATGCTTCTATGCTAGTTACAGGGTTTCTCAATGGAAATTTGAAAAAAATTTATTAATAAAAGTTGTTGCTAATTTAATTCTAAACAAATTTTATTTGAAAACATTTTTGATTCGGGCAATAATTATTGAGATAACCTCAAAAATATGATTTTTTATAAGAGTGTAAACCGCCAAGTAGTGAAGATGTCGAAAACTATTATTGCAAAATGGATTCAATATAATAATCTAAACTAATATTATAGGAAAGATTTTTTGATAAAAACAATAATATGCCTAATATTCATTGAATTACTTAACGTACTATTCACAGGGAAATTAGATGATGCTTCTATGCTAGTTACAGGGTTTCTCAATGGAAATTTGAAAAAAATTTATTAATAAAAGTTGTTGCTAATTTAATTCTAAACAAATTTTATTTGTAAATATTTTTGATTCGGACAATAATTATTGAGATAACCTCAAAAATATGATTTTTTATAAGATTGTAAACCGCCAAGTAGTGAAGATGTCGAAAACTGTTATTGCAAAATGGATTCAATATAATAATCTATACTAATATTATAGGAATGATTTTTCTATAAAAACAATAATATGCCATAATATTTATTGAATTAACTTAACGTATTATTCACAGGGAAACTAGATGATGCTTCTATGCTAGCTACAGGGTTCCTCAATGAAAATATGAAAAAAATTTCTTAATAAAAGTTGTTGTTAATTTAATTCTAAACAAATTTGGTTTGAAAAAGTTTTTGATTCGGACAATAATTATTGAGATAACCTCAAAAATAGGGTTTTTTATAAGAGTGTAAATCGCCAAGTAGTGAAGATGTCAAAAACTGTTATTGCAGAATAGATTCAATATAATAATCTAAACTAATATTATAGGAAAGATTTTTTGATAAAAGCAATAATATGCCTAATATGCATTGAATTACTTAACGTACTATTCACAGGGAAACCAGTTGATGCTTCCATGCTAGTTACAGGGTTCCTCAATGAAAATTTGAAAAAAAATTATTAATATAAGTTGTTGCTAATTTAATTCTAAACAAATTTTATTTGTAAATATTTTTGATTCGGACAATAATTATTGAGATAACCTCAAAAATATGATTTTTTATAAGAGTGTAAACCGCCAAGTAGTGAAGATGTCGAAAACTATTATTGCAAAATGGATTCAATATAATAATCTAAACTAATATTATAGGAAAGATTTTTTGATAAAAACAATAATATACCTAATATTCATTGAATTACTTAACGTACTATTCACAGGGAAATTAGATGATGCTTCTATGCTAGTTACAGGGTTTCTCAATGGAAATTTGAAAAAAATTTATTAATAAAAGTTGTTGCTAATTTAATTCTAAACAAATTTTATTTGAAAATATTTTTGATTCGGACAATAATTATTGAGATAACCTCAAAAATATGATTTTTTATAAGAGTGTAAACCGCCAAGTAGTGAAGATGTAGAAAACTATTATTGTAAAATGGATTCAGTGTAATAATCTAAACTAATATTATAGGAAAGATTTTTTGATAAAAACAATAATATGCCTAATATTCATTGAATTATTTAACGTACTATTCACAGGGAAACCAGATGATGCTTCCATGCTAGTTACAGGGTTTCTCATTGAAAATTCGAAAAAGATTTATTAATAAAAGTTGTTGCTAATTTAATTCTAAACAAATTTTATTTGAAAATATTTTTGATTCAAGTTATAAATATTGAGATAACCTCAAAGATATGATTTTCTATAATAGTGTATAGCGCCAATTGGTGCAGATAATAAAAATTATTATTATAAAACGGATTCTACTTAATAATATAAATAAATATTATAGGAATGATTTTTCGATAAAAACAATAATATACCATGATATTCATTAAATTATTTAACGTACTATTCACAGGGAAACCAAATTATGCTTACATGTTAGTTACAAGGTTCCTCATTAAAAATTCGAAAAAATTGTATTAATAAAAAATATTGCTAACTTAATTCTAAACAAATTTTATTTGAAAATATTTTTGATTCGAATAATAATTATTAAGATAACTTCAAATGATTAAGATGATTAAGAATGTGTTAAAGTTAACATAAAATGATGATTTTTTTTTAATTTCAGGCATGTATATTAATCCAGAAGAGACGAACACATACACAAATTTGGAGCAGACGATGAGCAGCAACCCAAACGTGTTTTTTCAAAGTAACAATGGCGTTCATCCCGGAATGATATATTATTAACGTACTATTCACAGGGAAACTAGATGATGCTTCCATGCTAGTTACAAGGTTCCTCATTAAAAATTTGAAAAAAATTTATTAATAAAAGTTGTTGCTAATTTAATTCTAAACAAATTTTATTTGAAAATATTTTTGATTCGGACAATAATTATTGAGATAACCTCAAAAATATGATTTTTTATAAGAGTGTAAACCGCCAAGTAGTGAAGATGTCGAAAACTATTATTGCAAAATGGATTCAATATAATAATCTAAACTAACATTATAGGAAAGATTTTTTGATAAAAACAATAGTATGCCTAATATTCATTGAATTACTTAACGTACTATTCACAGGGAAACTAGATGATGCTTCCATGCTAGTTACAGGGTTCCTCATAGAAAATTTGAAAAAAATTTATTAATAAAAGTTGTTGCTAATTTAATTCTAAACAAATTTGATTTGAAAATATTTTTGATTCGAATAATAATTATTAAGATAACCTCAAATGATTAAAATGATTAAGAATGTGTCAAGTTAACATAAAATGATGATTTTTTTTTAATTTCAGGCATGTATATTAATCCAGAAGAGACGAACACATACACAAATTTGGAGCAGACGATGAGCAGNACTTAACGTACTATTCACAGGGAAACCAGATGATGCTTCCATGCTAGTTACAGGGTTTCTCATTGAAAATTCGAAAAAGATTTATTAATAAAAGTTGTTGCTAATTTAATTCTAAACAAATTTTATTTGAAAATATTTTTGATTCAAGTTATAAATATTGAGATAACCTCAAAGATATGATTTTCTATAATAGTGTATAGCGCCAATTGGTGCAGATAATAAAAATTATTATTATAAAACGGATTCTACTTAATAATATAAATAAATATTATAGGAATGATTTTTCGATAAAAACAATAATATACCATGATATTCATTAAATTATTTAACGTACTATTCACAGGGAAACCAAATTATGCTTACATGTTAGTTACAAGGTTCCTCATTAAAAATTCGAAAAAATTGTATTAATAAAAAATATTGCTAACTTAATTCTAAACAAATTTTATTTGAAAATATTTTTGATTCGAATAATAATTATTAAGATAACTTCAAATGATTAAGATGATTAAGAATGTGTTAAAGTTAACATAAAATGATGATTTTTTTTTAATTTCAGGCATGTATATTAATCCAGAAGAGACGAACACATACACAAATTTGGAGCAGACGATGAGCAGCAACCCAAACGTGTTTTTTCAAAGTAACAATGGCGTTCATCCCGGAATGATATATTAATATAATAAACAATTAAATTGTTACCCCTAAATTTGTACCATTTAATAATTTTATTATATTTCTTTGTAAATAATATGTACAGAAATTAAATTAATTTGTTAACAATTTTTATTAATAAGTTTTGTGTACCTAATTTATGACTGAAACTCGTTCGATTAGTTTTATAATTTATCATAATTATTTTATAATATTTTATATACAAAAACTAAATGAATAAATAAATTTAATGAATTTATGTCTTGGTTTCTTGTATCTTTTAAATTGCAGGATACAAACTTGTTAAATAAAAAAATTAATAATAGTGATTCAATTTTATTTGTTCATTGTATTTTAGATAGTATTGAAACAGAATGAAAGTGGTCGTTAAAAGTCTTCGCAAAGAGCTAATTTGGTATTAACTCCGTTCCAAATCTTGAAGTAAAAGATGGTTTGTATCCATTTCGTGACCATTAAGTGAAAATGCTCTGTTATAAATTGAAATTGAGCACTTCTCTCAAGTTGCTCTCACGATTATCTGAATTCTATCTCAATTTAAACCATTCGGTCTTGTAAACAAATTCAAATCTAATAACGGGATATTTTAGCCATTAATTAATTTCTTCCATTTACTTCTTGCATTTTCTCTACGATTACTATATAAATTCTAATGCAATTGCGATTAGAAACAAAATAAACTTTAACAGTACGATACACCCATTAAAGAAAGTCGGTTTAATTGTCAATTATTGCGAACACGACAATCATCATCCACGGTGTGTTCTATAAAATATCGAATCATACATATCATAAAACTCATAGTACAGAATCTATAGATACCGTTTCTAATGCATTTGAAAGTAGGTATACGACTCATATTGTGTATTTAAGCTCGATACATACCGTATCAAATTGTATAGAGAAAATTCCTGTTAATTTCCGGTTATTAAGACATTTATGGAGAATATTAAATACTAATAATCGTAGTTATTGCTCTTTTATGTTTCTATAAATAACACTATAGCAATTAAATAAATTTTTAATTAAGTAGGTAATGCAGCCAATTATACTAATTCGCGAAATAAGTTGCCTATACTAAATTAATAATAATTATTAATTTAATTTATTTCATATTTTTCTTATATTTTTTAAATCTTATCATATTATATTAAAAAGAAAAATAATAATAAAAATAATAATTTTTATTTATTTATATTTTTTTTTGTTTAATTATCAACACGTGAGCAATTCCTCACATGCAGCCAATTATACTAATACGTGAAATAAGTTGCCTGTACTAAATTAATAATAATTATTAATTTAATTAATTTCATATTTTTCTTATATTTTTTAATTCTTATCATATTATATTAACAAAAATAAATTAAAATAATAATTTTTATTTATTTATAACTTTTTTGTTTAATTATCAACACGTGAGCAATTCCTCACATGGCTCACACGCAGTGACAAATAACTGATTAAAAGTAATTATGCATACTTCTCGACATACTTAGCGTTTCTCTTGGGCCTCAATTGCGTAACGATTTTTCTTCGGTTATCCGAGAGCTGTTTATCTACTATTTTAAACCTGGTACGGCATTAAACAGGTGTGGTAAATCGTTGTCGCATTGGCATGGATATAACGTAAACAATTTTCTTATTATGCGATTATTATAACTAACTCCGTTAGATTCTTCAACGTGTTAACAAACCTCGATTAAAACAGTGATTTAATTTTAAAAAAATCATACAGTTATTTGTCAGTTATTTTGAATATGTTTGAGAACTATTTTCTAAGATAATTTGTACTTATCACGTTTTATACGAAAATTTTTAATGAAAATACACTTTTTAATACATTAATTTGATGTTATCGATGGTGAAACATGATTGAAGTTATTGAAATAAATTTAATATTCCTCGGAGACAATATGAGTAGTTAAGAGGTATTTGGAATCATTTGGAGTCACCGGGAAGAAACTAACGGAGTTGGAACGAAATCGATTGAAAAATATATCTTCTATGAATCATGATGAACGAATTTTATTAATAAAGTTTTGCGCTAACATTTTTAATTTAGGAGTAAATTGTTAACTTTGGGTTGTCATCATTTTAGGTTTATAACAGAAAAATGAATAGAGTTGGAATGAAATCGATTGGGAAAAATATCTTCTAGGATTCATTATTAATAAAATCTTACACCATCATTTCTAGTTTAGGAGTTAACAAAGATTTTAGTATTCAAAAACGTCAATTTTTACATTTTCATCGTGTTAGATAGGTAATAGGGAAACTAATGGAGTTAGAATAAAATCGATTGAGGAACATATCTTTTAAGGTTTATAATGAACAAAATTTATTAATAAAATTTTGCCCTATCATTTTCTTTTTAGGAGTTATGACAGATTTGAATTACCAAAAACCACAATTTTTAAATTTCCATCGTCTTATGTATGTAATAGAAAAACTGATAGAGTTGGAATGAAATCTGTTAGGAAACATATCTTCTAGGATTCATAATGTACAAATATTTTTAATAGTATTTTGCCCTATCTTTATTAGTCTTGGAGTCACAACACATTTTAGTACTCAAAAACGTAAATCTTTATGTTTTCTTCATTTTACGTTCGTAATAAAGAAACTAATAGAGTTGGAATGACATCGATTAGGGAAGATATCTTCTAAGATTTATAGTAAAAAAAATTTATTAATAAAGTTTTGCCCCACAATTGTTAGTTTTGGTGTTATGACAGATTTTAGTCATCCAAATCGTTAATTTTTAGGTTTTTATCATCTTAAGCACGTAATAGAGAAACTAATAGAGTTAGAATAAAATCGATTAGGAAACATATTTTTTACGATTCATATTGAACAAAATTTTTTAATAGAATTTTGCACCATCTTTATTAGTTTTGGAGTCATAACACATTTTAGTTCACAAATACGTCAAATTTTATGTTTTCTTCATCTTACGTATGTAAGAAAAAAACGAATAGAGTTGGAATGAAATCGATTAGGAAACATATCTTCTAGGATTCATAATAAACAAAATTTATTAATAGTGTTTTACCCCATCATTTTTAGTTTTGGTGTTATGACTGATTTTATTCATCCAAATCGTCAATTTTTAGGTTTTCATCATCTCAAGTATGTAATAGAAAAACTAATAGAGTTGGAATAAAATCGATTAGGAAACATATCTTCTAGGATTTATAAAGAACAAAATTTTTTAATAAAATTTTGCCCTATCTTTATTAGTTTTGGAGTCATAATACATTTTAGTACTCAAATACGTCAAATTTTACGTTTTGTTCATCTTACGTATGTAAGAAGAAAACTAATAGAGTTGGAATGAAATCGATTAGGAAACATATCTTCTAGGATTCATAATGAATAAAAATTTTTAATAGAATTCTGCCCCATCTTTATTAGATTTGGAGTCATAACACATTTTAGTCATCCAAATCGTCAATTTTTAGGTTTTCATCTTCTTAAGTATGTAATAGAGAAACTAATAGAGTTGGAATANAATCATGATGAACGAATTTTATTAATAAAGTTTAGCGCTAACATTTTTAATTTAGGAGTAAATTGTTAACTTTGGGTTGTCATCATTTTAGGTTTATAACAGAAAAATGAATAGAGTTGGAATGAAATCGATTGGGAAAAATATCTTCTAGGATTCATTATTAATAAAATCTTACACCATCATTTCTAGTTTAGGAGTTAACAAAGATTTTAGTATTCAAAAACGTCAATTTTTACATTTTCATCGTGTTAGATAGGTAATAGGGAAACTAATGGAGTTAGAATAAAATCGATTGAGGAACATATCTTTTAAGGTTTATAATGAACAAAATTTATTAATAAAATTTTGCCCTATCATTTTCTTTTTAGGAGTTATGACAGATTTGAATCACCAAAAACCACAATTTTTAAATTTCCATCGTCTTATGTATGTAATAGAAAAACTGATAGAGTTGGAATGAAATCTGTTAGGAAACATATCTTCTAGGATTCATAATGCACAAATATTTTTAATAGAATTTTGCCCCATCTTTATTAGTCTTGGAGGCACAACACATTTTAGTACTCAAAAACGTAAATCTTTATGTTTTCTTCATTTTACGTTCGTAATAAAGAAACTAATAGAGTTGGAATGACATCGATTAGGGAAGATATCTTCTAAGATTTATAGTAAAAAAAATTTATTAATAAAGTTTTGCCCCACAATTGTTAGTTTTGGTGTTATGACAGATTTTAGTCATCCAAATCGTTAATTTTTAGGTTTTTATCATCTTAAGCACGTAATAGAGAAACTAATAGAGTTGGAATAAAATCGATTAGGAAACATATCTTCTAGGATTCATAATGAACAAAATTTTGTAATAGAATTTTGCCCCATCTTTATTAGTATTGAAGTTATAACACATTTTAGTTCACAAATACGTCAAATTTTATGTTTTCTTCATCTTACGTATGTAAGAAAAAAACTAATAGAGTTGGAATGAAATCGATTAGGAAACATATCTTCTAGGGTTCATAATAAACAAAATTTATTAATAGTGTTTTACCCCATCATTTGTTAGTTTTGGTGTTATGACAGATTTTAGTCATCCAAATCGTTAATTTTTAGGTTTTTATCATCTTAAGCACGTAATAGAGAAACTAATAGAGTTAGAATAAAATCGATTAGGAAACATATCGTCTAGGATTCATAATGAACAAAATTTTTTAATAGAATTTTACCCCATCTTTATTAGTTTTGGAGTCATAACACATTTTAGTACTCAAATACATAAAATTTTACGTTTTCTTCATCTTACGTTCGTAATAGAAAAACTAATAGAATTGGAATGGAGTCGATTAGGAAACATATCTTCTAAGATTTATAATAAACATGATCTATTAATAAAGTTTTGTCCTATCATTTTTAATTTATTGTGTTATGGCAGATTTTAGACATTAAAATCGTTAATTTTTAGGTTTTCAGTTTCTTACGTATGTAATAGAGAAACTAATAGAGTTGGAATAAAATCGATTAGGAAACAT